GCTAACATGTGTTACTTGTCTGGGTACTGTAGTTCTCTATTATAGAAAGGTCTTAGATTTTTTTTTTTCCCTGAGCTCCATAAGATGAAGGGCTTTTAGACTCAAAAAACCTACAAGAACAATAATTGATTTGAAAGTGCAGTTGTGCTGTGCTGTCTCCTGCACCTGTAGCTTTGGGGATCATTTTGACATAATAATCAAAGAATAATCCCAAAGTGTTTCTTATGATACTTCATTGCTAACGTTCTCTGTGAAACTCAGACCTTGGCTGTTTGTAGGTATGACAAACCTTGTGGAATGTTTTGTGACAGAGAATCACTTTCCAGTTGCTGTTTTTCAGCTCTTCTCTCATTACCTGCTTGTAGCTACCATTTGTGTTTCAGTACACATGACCTACCAGATGAGTGTTGAATGGCCTCACCAAAAAGGAAAGGAGCTTCTATCGTGCTTTGGTGTCCAGCTCATAAAACTCCCATAGGATGCAACCATTCTTACTCAATTTCCCTACATTTTGTAAGAACTTGAAGTAAAACTTCTAGGGAAGCTGAAACTGGAGAAGTGCAGAACCACTTTATGAGAGGTGATGCGGATTAGAAATACCTGCAGTGCACTGAGCTATGCTCTTTACACTTCCAAGCTACCCTTCTTTTTGCTAAGGCCTCCACGTGTCATGTGAGTACCATTGCATGCATAAAGCAGTGGTGCAGATCATCAGTCTCAGCCGTGCATGTTTTCTTAGTGAAGTGGTGGAGCTGTGTGATGAGTCCCTATGGAGCTGGTAATCATGTTGTCTGCTCTCAGTCAAAAGCCTCTAATGAGCTGGGGGCACTAGATTCTAATTAGATACCCACACAAACTTCCTGTTGGCTCAGGTGTACTGAAGCCTTAGTGGCTGAAGAAGCTTTCCTTCAGGGTCTGGATGTTTCCCATCTCAGTAGGAAAATTCATTGTGCTTTACAGTGAGATAACAAGTTTTCCAGACTTAGGCCAGATACAAGAAGGCTCTCTTGGCAGGATTGGGCAAGGCCCATGAGCAAGATGAGCTTTATTCCTGCAAGAAATAACGCATCTTAACAATTATGCATGTGTGTGTAGGGTAAAGATCTGAACTGGAGTTGGTCAAAGATGGAGAACAAGAGGGGTCTTCAAAGCTAGCTTTTCTGCATAGGCGGCCTCAGCACATATGGTTTGCATGAAAACTTAAGGTTTTCTTCCCCTGCCCTGTCTTCCTGCCCTCAGCTTTTCTCAACGTTTTTGTGTACTTTGGAATTAATTGATAAAGTGATTAAGTACTTTCATTGCTCTCACTGTAATATGGCTTCAGGTAAGGATAACATTCAGGTAACTGCCTGGTAAGAGAGTTGTCAGTTTAAACAGGTTTAGCATTCTTAAACTTGTTACTGAGAAACTCTCCCAAGCGTCCAGTTAGCACTGAGAAGCAGGCTGTGCTGGAGTCCAGCTGAAGGGCACCATGTCCTGCAGTGGCACCCAGACCCAGAGAGCCACCTGGCAGGCAGCACAGCTGGGGAGAGTCTGAGCTGTGAGAGCCTCCAGACAGAACGTGATGTTCACAGCTAATGATGTGTGATTTCAGGAGCACTGGTAGCATTTCAGCACTTGCTGTAAGCTGCACTTTTACAGCTAGTCTTGGTTAGAGAGCTGCTGGGTGTACGGTACAAAACAGTCAGGAAAAGAAAAATCTTTAAGCTGTGTTCCAGCAATTCAGGTGTTGTCTTCTGACTTATTTGTGTGGAGAGGTTTATGTTCAGGGTATGCTTACCTTGCAGGAAGTTTGTTGAAATTCCAGTGAAATAGGAACATTGTGCAACATGTGGCTGCAGTTCCCCACTGGTTGGAAGATTCTTGTTTAAGCCGAAGGTCTGGAGCAATTCCAAGCAACTTGATTTAAAGTAAACATCCTGGATGCAGTGTGTCAAATACTAACACAATATTGTTTTAGTTTTTCTCATTTCTCTTGTGGGAATAATCATTCCATGAAGAAGGAAAGTGATCTAATGAGAGAATTAACTCAAGAGCTTGAATATGGAATTAATCACAGCTGTCTGAGAGGGGAACCAAGGCAAACTCCACAGAGAGCTCACTGCATTTCCGAGGAAGTAGCACAAAAGAATGCTAAGAGTCAGATAGCAGTTGGTGATCGAAACAGAGATGCTTTTAGTAGCTAAAGGAAGCAAAAATGTGCAGCAGGATGAGTTTCCTGCTTTCATTTCTGTGCGATGTTACATCTCAGTAGGAAGGGATCGCTGCAACCTTTTCTTGGGGGTGTGAGAAAGTGACAGATGGTTTGGGTCTGATCCTCTTTGCGTCTTCATGCTTAGCTGAAGCAGGTGATTGATTTCCTCAGCTGGCTCTTTTATTCACTGTTTGTTGGGAGTGGTCCTGCAGCTTCAGCTGACCTGCTGCCTATGTAGTGTTACATCAATACTGGGATCGTTGTCTTTCTCTCAGAAAGTATTGCACTCGTGTTTACAGAACGTGTGAGCTGATTTTACTGAGAAGATGGATGGAGTTTAATCTCAGTATGCGGGGATCTCTGCCTGATACCCACCACATTCCACAGCCTGTGCGTGTAGTGGGGTCATTCCAGAAGCACAGCCTCTGTGGAATGTGAGGTCTGTCATGAAGGCCGTGAGTAATTGCTGGTGGGATGTCTGTGAGCTCTGTGTCTGCGTGCTCTGTGAGTCAGGGCATCCAGGGTTCTGTATATACTGAAGACTGAAAGGATTAAAACTTCCACAGTAAGATGTTTTGACTGTAAATGGCATCGGCAACTGATACCCATCCCAGCTCTGTGGCTGCTCTGCTGTTCCTTTGCTGTGTATCTCCCTGCTTTTCTTTTCCCCCTTGATTTACCTTTCTGCAGTGCAAGCATTTTTCATTTCCCTTTGTAGAGCTTCACCTTTGGGGGCTGCGATGATGTCTGCTTAATTGACTAGAATAGGAGCAAACCCTTTGGGATTCCTAACAGAAGACCTGTCTGAATTTAATGACGACATAAACGTAGTGGTGTTGTAATTCGTTTGTAAGCAGTTCTGAACCTCTGTTGCAGTGTTTTTGTTTGCACTTCAGTTTTCTCTGTTTCCTTATCACAATGTCACATCAAATGTTACCAAAATCCTTCAGAGGCCCTCATCTACAGCTTTCTTTTTTTTCCAGCAGGCTGGTTGTATCTCAGTTAGGAAAATCAGCCCGTTGTGATGTTGTTTGTTTGAAATAAGCTAACAGTGATAACATTTATCATTCTGTTATTCAAGGTGATGGAAATGCATTGTTTAATGACTTCTTGTACTGTGTTTTATTGTGTGAGCTTTTTTTTTTTTTTCCTTGATGTTCAGGTTTCTGCAAGTTTTAACATTTGTCCAAGGTTTACCTTGCAAAGCACAACTTCATTTCCAGGGTGAAATGAGTCCCTGAAAGAGGACTTGTTTGTGCTAGTCCTCCTTCTGCAACACTTGCAGCAATCAGATAAGTACCTTACTGACTCCATCCCACTGACTCAGTTTGCTCACTCTTCCTCTTGGGTGTATCTTGAAGATTAATTAATACTTATAAAATACTTTTAGTAAAACCTGCCTGTGAAAAATGCAGCACTAGTTGAAAATGCTGCCATTATTGGTATTTATTATTTTGCAAAAGGGAAGCTATTTTGCAATCAATATCAGTGTGGAATTAGGAACTATAAAAATAGATGAGGGCTCTAGAGATACTGGAGAAAATTGTGGCTGGCACAACTAAACTGAAGGTGAGAACTCTTGAGTAACCTGATGAAGAAAGCCTTCCAGTGGCACAAGGCACAGGAAGCAAGTTTTGGTAATAACACTTAGTAGTGAAATATATGTAGAATTAAGTGTTTGTACTGCCGAAGGATGATGAAGTCCTTTTCAGTCTGAGTGTTAAAACTGAGGTTCATCATCATAAGTGACATCAATAATTCCCAAGCAGCAGGCTCAGCTCACCTATCCTAACCAGCTCTAGGGAGCTGCCGAGAGAGATCTGGTTGGGAATGGCTCCTGGCAGTGCACAGATCTGGTTGGGAATGGCTCCTGGCAGTGCAGAGATCTGGTTGGGAATGGCTCCTGGCAGTGCAGAGATCTGGTTGGGAATGGCTCCTGGCAGTGCAGAGATCTGGTTGGGAATGGCTCCTGGCAGTGCAGTGGGGTTTCGGAAGACTCACACTGCTGTGCCAATATTTAAGGAAAGAAAACTAAATAAGCAGACCAGGCAGAGTGACCCAGCTAGCTGTGTTGTGGTTAACATGACATCAGCGCCAGGCAGCGTGGTACGACAGCTGATGCTTAGTCATATAGTAAATAAGTCAATAACTGGCACAATTTTTTTATTTTTATCAAATTTATCTTGTTGGAAAATCCAAGTTAACTTATTAATAAAGTTTGTAGGTCTGGTTCCTACAGGTTAGTGTAGAAATACATTTCACAACATGTTTCACACAGCGTTTCATCTACCATTGTGACATTCTGATAAAGATCTTGGTGGCATTAAATACAGAGACACTTCAGTTGTCCTGGTCCCTTGGTTTTGCTGTAGGATCCAGTGCTGTTTGGGAGCACGAGTCACCAGTCTCATGGCTTGTTCTGAAAGTAAGCATCGAAGAACCCTAGTTTTCTAGGGTGATTTGGTGAGCTAGAGCAAAGAGAATAAGGGCAGATGGGAAAAATAGAGCAGAGATGCAGGCGGAGACAAATGTGCTAAATTTAGCAAAGAACATAAAGGAAATGTTTGGCAGTGGCTGTGCAGAATAAGCTGCTGTTATGCTAGTGAAAGGGAATGATTAATTAGTGAATTAATGTTGCATAGCAAAATAAAAAGCAGGAAGCTTTCTGCTCTGATTCAGGTGTCTCTGCAATCAAGAATGACGGCAAAGAAAACAGATCAGGATGGAAAAAAAAAAAGGAAAAAGACTAGCAGAGCTTCACAGAAGTGCATTTTCTTTAAGAATTGGCTGGCTGTTCTTTTCAAAATGTAGAAGCAGCAGGTTGAGTAGCCATGAAGTACAGACCTGACGGCGTATCGTTCCAAGAGCAGTTCAGTACCGGTAGGAATTATGCCACTGTTAGCTATAGTGAGAGGCAGAGCTTGACCTGATGGGTCTAGCATTACTACTGCAGCTGTGTGAAACCATTGAAGTAAACAAGCAGTCTAGGGAAGAGTGGGATGGATTTTTAACATTCTCCTGGTGTAAGGGGGGTGCCGAGTCATTGTTTCAGCTGGAGGCCGGATCCTTCCATGTTGTAAGGTGCCGAGCTCCATTGCAAGCATTGAGAGGATGTGGATTTTCACTTGATGATAATGTGAGTCCCAAAATTAAATCCTTTCGTGGTTGCCCTGGTGATACAACTGTGAAAGGCTGTACGGAATGGCATGGAACTCTCTGCTCTCCAGTGATGTCGGAAGAAGGATGCAAGCCTAAGTAAAACCAGCATTTGATTAATCTTTACCTGATGAGTTCCTCTGGGACTGGTGCAGACTTTGGTTTTACTTTGATGGTAGCAGTGATGCTGCAAGCAGAAATACCAATGGGGAAACCCCTCATGTGGGTCCTCCCTGATGTAGAGATTGTTCTGTCTGTAGTCATTCCAAGGGATTCATTGCATTCACAATTATTCTTCACATTCGTGGTGTAGGAGACTTTTGTGCTACTGTAGTTTAAAGTAGAAGCCCAGAGCAGCAGTCTTTGCATTTTGTATACTGGTCATATATGGATGCAGGGATTTATCTAATACACGACAATCCCCTGATATAGAAGTATGTTTTTGGGATACAAAATAGGTACATTTTCAGTTGTCAGTAGCCAGACCTACTGACCTATTTCTGCCTGCAACATTTCTCCCTTGTCTGAGCAGAGTGTGGCACACAGGAACTTGTGACATGAGTGATGATACCTGTGCTAATGAAGGATCCGTGTTGAAGGTTTGGTGCACTACTGGCATGGCCTTGCAGAGTGTCTCACTGTTCCACCTTAAATCAGCAACCACTGCCTGTGCTTCTTGTCTTTGAAAATCAAGCCTGGAAGTTACCTTCAGGCTTCTGATTCAAGTCACAAGGTTACACCTGTGCTAACTTGCCTGGGAGCTTTGTGATGCAGATGCAGAAAAACTCAGAGAAGGATTAATATAGCCAACCATTGATTTATTGAGTTCTCAGAAGTGAGGGATAAGACAGGCTGCTGTGATGCCCTGAGCCCAACCTCCACAATGATTTCTCTCCTCCTGACGTTCACCCACCAAAATTCATCTCGTCTCTTCCCCTTCTTCTTGCTGCAGTGCCTCAAACTTCAGGAGTCTCTTTTGGCAGGAATGCTCCTCACTGCTGCTGATACTGGAGCTTTCCTCTGAGCTTTCGGAGAGGAGATGCTTGATTGCCACCATGTCCTTCTTGTTCATTTGCAAGCAGAGGCAGGAGGATTCGCTGACCTTGAATGATTCCCCCCACATGCTCTGGCACATGTCGGTCCCATTTGCATACATCTGTGTGTAAAACAGGAAAAATACATCAAACACATTTTAAAAAGAATGGAGTTAAAACCGAGTTGTATTAATTTGAGAAACATCACTTTTTTTAGAAATGGTACAAAATTATGAAAAAGTCTGCAGTCATCCACTGTCTTGTACAGCTCTGCACTGTACTTCATCCCTTTGCAATGTTATTTAGTTCCACCACTGGCAGAAGAGCTTTGCCAGTTGTGAGAGCAAGCGATTGCACAAAGTGCAGTGTGATGAACAGCCAGCCCTTTGCTTTCACCCCGGGGCTGACAGAGTAAAGCTGTGTGCAAGAGGCTGCACGACTTGCAGCATGTCAGGGCACTCTGACACGTCTCTGGGTTTGAGTATTGCTGAAAGTGCCAAACCGAGTGTTTTGAAAACTGGACTCTATTGGCAAGCAAGAGGCAGTCAGTGGAGTCACAGCCTGCTGCAGTGCACATCGTGACCAGGCAGAACCTTGCTAAGAGAAGAGGCATAACTCAGAAACTGCTTGATGAAAAGAAGACTTACAGCTGTGGGCCCCGGCCTGCCTCCAAAGAGCTGTATTTATTGCCTCGAGAAATTGTGAGCTGCAGCAACTCTCTGCAGGTGAATTTGGCCTGTTCTTGGTGCTGTGTCGCTTTGTTAGTCCTCTGTCACAGGACCTGTGCAGCCAAACAACAAAAATATTTCTTGTTTGCCAGGCTTACATTGTGACGATCTTCTGTCCTCCCAGCTTGAGTTTTCCTGAAGAGTGTAAGCTTAGCAATTACCATGTTCAGCCACAGAGTGGGCAAGATGTATACTTTATCTTGCCTGCATTTCTCCTGTGTGTTTGTTGTTGAAGTTTGGTTCTTCCTGTTTCTGGAAGGAACTTGAGATACTTCCCAAGTAATGCTAAAAATGGAGTTGGGGGTGGGAGTGATGACAGGAGCAGAAGCCTTAGGAATTAAGGAGAAGAGACTGCTAATGACTGAAACAGAACTAGGGAGCTGGACTGCTGGTCTTGTTGCCAACTGTGTCCCTGAGTCGCTTTGTGAGGATCTCTCAGAAGGAAGCCGTGTTTCAGCTGTGATATCACACGCAGTCCTTGCCTGTGACCTTGGTTCACTATTCCCTTGGCATTCCCTTTTGTGCTGTGATTTCTGCGTTCTGAGCTGGTTTGCCAGTCGCAGCAGCACATATAAAGATCTGTGAATCTTGGAGACAGTGATCTGTCTTCATGGTCAGGAGACTTCTGCATGGAAGGCGTTCTGTGTGCCAACAGTTAGTGATTATAGACTTAAATCTATTATATGGAAGTGGGACTGGGCATCTGTAGTCCTGCGACTGCTTCTGCTCCACATCTTTTCCACAAGTTCTCCTTATGAGATGTATCCTTGTCTCCTTGTCTCCTCACGTGCTAAACAACCCTGGCTGGGTTTTGTGCAGAAGGCAGGTGAGGTGATATACCTTAATCAGAGTTGATTTAGAAATCTATCCAGTGCAAATAATGGAGAATCCATTCTAAATAGCTCCAAAGGCTCTGGTCTGTAATACAGCTTTTTACATCTCACCAGCTTGCTCTATGGATGCTGCGGTTGCTGGAGGACTGTGAAGGTTGGTCAGTGCACTGGGAGAGATGCGGGCTCAGAAACAGACAAGTTGCTGCATCTGGTTCTCCCCTTGCTCTCCTTTGGGCAGCCAGATCTTAGCTGTTTCTTTCCAGCTATTCCTGTACTTTCAAGCAGCATGAGACATTTTCTTCCAGCTCCTGTACAGATCCTGCTTTTATCGGGTCGTGTGAGAAAATATTTAAAAGCTGTTATGAGTTTTCTTAGGTCCATATGCAGGAGTCATGGCTACGTCCTATTAGGTTCCACAGGGTCTGTAGCACACATTCGTGCTCTGATACTTGTTAAATTAGCCATTTAATTTTGACATTCCTCCAAACTTTGCTTAAAAATCATAGCATAGCCAGAATGCTGCAGCAAACAAAATGTGCCCATTTAACAAAAGCGTACTTAAATTATTGCTTCTGATTGTTCAGCTTCTTGGCCGCTGTTCTGGTCTGTGCATTAACATCACTTGGGAAGCACTCTGCTGGGAGAAAAATGATAAAATGTGCAGGCCAAAACTGGCTACGGTCCACGTACATTCTTAATACTCTCACTTGTTCCAAGTAGTCCTTGCAAACACTTGCATACGTCACGCGTAGGACTGCTGATTGCTTCTCTGCATTTGCTGAGGGCATCAGATGGAAGCATCTGCCCACAGTGCCCTGACATGGGAGAACCTTTGGGGCCTTCCAGACGGCCGTAACGTTCCTTTCCAGGAGTTGAGTGCAAAGCAAGTGACTCCAGTGTTTGCGTGTAATTTCATTTTCATACGGGAAATATGTTGTTGTAATTGCTCTGAAGAAAATAAATATTTATTCATACTTACCATGCGGGCCTATTTTTGGTAAAAAACATGGGCAGTGTTGGGTGTGGTTCCGCTTAGTTTAGGAATAGCTGCATCTGCCTTCCAGTGATAAGACCTCTGGATTTGCTGCGTGGCTTTTTTCCCAGCCGATGGTATATTTTCTTTAAGAAATATTTACATGGGGGTTTAAGTTTGAACCTTCTACCTCTGGACTAGGAACAGTTTAAACAGGGACTGAAGATTGTTTATGGCAATTATCATTTTGCTTTCATTTCATCTGGAGCTACTGATGATTTAGCATATCTGCAAAGCTAAGCTGCGAGTTTCCACAGGCCGTTTGGTTTTTGGCCATCTTCCTGGCCCTGCTGATCAGTGTCACTGCAGAGCAGACACAAATCCCGGACTGTGACTTACATCAGTCGCTGAACAAACTTCTGGATGTACACGAATTTGTACAGATTTCAAAACAATCCATTTGGGATCTGTGCAAGATGTGCTACCAGTCCCTAAGAACTGCACTTAAGTTCTGTTCACTTCTTTAGTTTGGACTGGATTTACAGACTCAGTTTAACTGTTAATAATGTTCCAATAAGTGTTGTGGTTTTGAGCTGTATAATCTAGCCTTGATCCTACACATATTTGAGTCACTTGAGAAAAATCCCCCCTGACTCTTGAAGGCCTGTGAATCAGGTTCCAGGCAACTTTGGTCCCATCAGTCTTTTAATTTCTCATTTTATACGCTTTTCTTCATAATATCAGTTATCCCAACCATCAGAAAGTCGGGATGGGCTCCCAGAAGGCTTCTCAGTGCTGCTTTTTGACTAACAGATTTGAAGAGAAAAAAGCTACCTGTGTCTAGCAATTGGCAGACACAAAGGAGAGCAGCAGAATTATGGTAGGTCTATGGAGAGTAAAAGGGAGACGATTAGAAGACTGCAAGGACTTAGGGACTTGAAGTATGGAGGACTCAAATGTGACAACGTCAGATAGAGGGGAAGGCAAGGATGCCTAATAAGTAAGAAAACCTTGGAAGTTCCTTAATGACCTGGGAACCTGCTTCTCAGTGTAAAAAGGCAGAGGTGTGTAAAGCTCTACACCGTGTGAGAAGTTTTATAAGATAAATTCATTGCCTCTTTCTGTTACATGATCCAGGTTCCTTTATCTTTTATTTTCTGACCTCTGCTGTGGTTAATGTATCAGTTCTGCTGGAACATCTTCTGTTTCACAAGTGGTATGAATAGTGATTAATTAGAAGTGTGTTTATTTAGTGAGAGATCTACATAAAATGCTTTGGAAACTATATATTTGAGAAATCTGGTGGTAGGTATAGGTATAGCTTGAAATTGTTGAAATAGAAAATAACTCAGATATTGCATTTTAAGCCCACATATTCAGGAAAAAGAAAGTACTCAGATTATTTATTTAGTGCCCCAACTGGCCGTGTTTTCTTACCTCCCTGTATGGCATGCATTTACTCTTACAGTGGTTTTCTCCTCTTTCATCCCGTTCCCAGTCCGTCAGCCAGTTATGGGCACAAATGGAATCATCTTTGCAGGCTTCGTACCTTCATGGAGATCAGTGTGGAAGATACAATTATTTTCCTTAGTGTTTTCCAGTGAACTACAGGGATTCAACTTGAAAAGCCCCTGGGCTGCGCTAGTAATGTGTGCGGTCACACAGCGCTCTGTGTCAACTGATCTTCAAGAAAGGTGCATGTGAGCTTAGCTTGGATGTACATAAACTGAACCAGATAGGAAGGCCTAAATCCCAACGAAAACTGAGCAGATCAGCCATGGCATTTCATGCTCACAGGTTTAAGGAGGTGGTCTGTGTTCTGGGAAGCAGCGTTCATTTGCGGTGATCTGTTCTGCTTAGTGAAGTTTGCTGACGTTACTGGGGAGAGGGAATGCTGTGTGGAGTTTAATGAGTGCTGACCATCAGTGCTGTGGCGTAGCACAGGTATCCTAAGTGTGAATTGGCACTCGAGAGAGAAGTGGGGGAGATTTATGAATTACTGTGGGAAAGGATGGGTGGTAATTCCTGAGCATGGGACAGCTATGAGAACTGCTCAGTGAAATAAGGAAGACCTATAAGCAATAAAATCAGATAAGCTAAAGCCGTCAGCCTCAGAACGTTTTCAAAGAAGTTAAGCTTGAAGTGCAGGAGCAAAGATAAATGCTCTGTGAGGTGTGGGGTCTACGATTTTAAATTTAAAGTGATTTTTAAGTTGTAAGCAATAAGGTGAAGAGAAGCTTGTAAGTGGCCTGGAATCACTAAGGTATGCAACTGGCTGTTCTATGTGATGAGAGATCTCCTGACCTACCCATCGCCTTACACCATTTTCTTTTGGCTTTTACTTTGGCTCAAATCCTTAATTTGTTAAGGATCTCTTTCTGCAGATCAATTAACATCTACTCAGACTTTGTCTCCATGGCTTGGGGCAGTCTATTCACACCAGAAACTGGGAGTGCCAAAAGCATGAGGCATAGCTTTCAAAAAGTGCAAGTAGCGTTCATGATAATTAATGCTTTGGGGTATATTTTATGTTTTTTATTTTTAGTCTTCAGGGTCACGTTTACCAAAATGACTTTGATGTCACAAGGACAGCAGACTTATGTTGTAAAATGAAACACGAGGCTGTCTCATAGTCACAGAACTGCAGGATCTGGACATTGTAATACATTTGAACGTGCAAGGTAAGAAGGTGCACATCTGCAGAACTGTCACTGCACAGTGCCTGGAAAATGAGCTCACAGGCAGCACAAGTTGTTGCTCAAGTACAAGCAGGAATTACAAGTGAGTAGACTACGTGCATTTGAGCCTAACCTTTTGTACTTCTTATTGCAGTGGCAGACAAAGTGATTTTAAATATATTTGCAGTGCACACAGAAACATTGTAGTAGGACTGAAAAGTTCCTGCTTCTCATTTTCACATTAAAATCAATGTTTGAAGGTCAAGACCTTTGCTGAAGCTTTGATCAGGTGAGAAGCTGTGATTCAGTGACCCAGCCCAATGTGTTTCCTGACTGGGATGCTTCATGGCTGCTCCACAGCGCTGCTGGCAGGTGGGACAGGTGCAGGAATGGAGGAGCAAGGTTGGAGTTGAGGGGAGGGCAGAACTGCTTTTATTGTTTGGTTTTTAAATTAGTGTCACCTGCAGTTATACTTTTCAAACTTAAGAGTGTGTATTTCAGAGTTTGACTGAACTGGGGTATCCATGTTATATCTCTGGCTTGCTTGGGAATCTGAATTAAATATGATTATTAAAATATTTATATTTTTATTCACTGATACCTATTGAATTGTTGGGTGAGAGGTTTCCTAATTACAATTATTTCCTGACCCTGTGGCTCGCTACACAAGAAGGTAGCAAGGCATAATTCTATTTTATGGGTTTTTCTTTCCCTGTGGAAGTAATTAAGAAGCTAAGTTCATGACAAATCATGACTTCTGATAAGTTTGATTTTTCTGCTGTCCAGAAACCCAAAAGTAGTTTCTTCAGACATTAATCGTAACCTGTGAGAATCTTGAACATGAATATTTAAAATACCCGCTCCAAATACACCAGCTCCCTGTGCACTCTGGGTGGGGTATTTTTATTTTGAAGCTTTTGTCTTTTAATTCTTTTTATAATTAGCTGTTTCTCTGTGAAATGGCCCGGGGTCACCTCACAGGTGGGTCAGACAAGGGCAGGGATAGGGGCTCTTTCAGAAGCAATAGGTTTTAGAGCTAGTGGGAGGAAGCAATTCTAAGACAATAGGAAGAAAAGGAAGGCCCCAAGCCAGTCAGATGAATTTCTTTTAAATGAAGTCGCTGCTCGTCAGAGCCCTCCGCACATTGCTGGCCACAAAGCCGTCCGGCATGCAGCAGCACACTGACGGCACTGGGGAAAGTAGGTCACATCACCAGCAGTGCTGAGCTCGCTCCGATGAATGGAGCACACACACAGAATGTTACTTTAGATCACCAGAAAGGATCGGAATTCTGGCCAAGCTCTTCTCTGGCCTCGGGCCTTAAGCAGGGTGAGGGAATGGGTTTGACATTGGGTCAGGCAGGCATACAAAGCCGCGTGCACAGTGATGGCTCGTCTTCACGTGTTTGATTCAGGCCAAGCATCTGTGACGCCGACAGGGGCAACGGATCATTGTTCAGTGTTTGCTTAGAGCTGAGCCTTTTCCCTAACAGGAAAAGGAACTGGTTCTTTGTCCCTGTGCAGCAGCTCTCAATCACATACACGAATACTTTAAAAGTTAAAAATGCTGTTTACCTGGAGGTTCTGGTAGTACCCAAGCAATACTGAGGGTTTTATGATGTAATATTGATCCACGTGTGCACGGGTATAAATCTCATAGGGACTCAGACGGGTTTAAACCAATTCATCCTTGTGAGAAGGATTTGAAGTGCGTGCAAAGTAAAATTAAGTCCCTTTCCTTTCGTTGCTATATTTTCTCTGAATGTAGCAATTTGCTTTGTGTGCTGTTCCTGATGTAGATTCTATACTTACATTGTTTCAGGGTACATTTGCCTTAGATATCGGTGTTCAATTACTTTGCCTGCGTTTTAAGGCCCACTGGGAACTCTGTTGCTTTAGTATCCAAATGTTTTCACCTTTCAGAAATATTTAGTTTGGAGGTTTGAGATTCTGAGTGCTGAGATACAATGTTCCTACTCCAAGACTAAGGACAAACAGGTGCTGCTACATATTTTGCACTCAAAAAGTAATTTGATTCCATAATGCTATATTTTGGGAAACGAAGTCAAATGCTGCTCTGCTCGCTGGTTACTGTTCTTGTTTCTCTGAAGCTCGGGCTTGTAGAAGTGTTGTTAGAGACAGGGACACAAGGAAAGAGTGAAGGGTAAGGATGAAAAACTTAGAAATGAAGCTCATTTGTTATATCTATTAATTGAGAACCACATTGCAAGCGGCTGCTTCCATGATTTCACAATGCCTTTTTAATACACATAGATGTGCTGTATCATAATCAAGTATTTAGACTTAAAATCCCACCTGCACAAAGCTGAGCTGTGGAGGCGGGAGTTCGAGCAGCAGCGCAGTGCCCTCGTGGAGAGCAGCGTGGCGCTGCCGAGTCCCTGGACTGGGACAGAGAGTGACTCCGTCCTGCTTTCAGCTTGGGACATTATTATTGTGCAGGGCAGCAGCTTAGCAGAGGAAAAGGTAGAGATGGCAAACTAGAAAGGAGCAGGAGGAACAGGCGAAAAGCTTGACAAGTGATACAGCACTATGGAATCTTGTTGCTCATTGTTTGGGAAGGCCGTGCTCCGTCCACCTGCTCTCTCTGACTCCTGAGTACTGGGCCTATTAAAGCTAAATAAAGACATTTTGATAACGATTAGAACCTACCAGTCATCACAGAAGCTTTGGCACAGTGGAACAGACTGAATAGCAGCAGTATATCTGGGATTGATCCAGTGAGCAGCGTGTGGAGAACACCGGTAAAAGCACTCGATTTTCTTTGTGAAATCTTCACAGCTGTTGTGGGTGAGAAAAGCCTCAAATAAACATGTTGCTCAGTGTTAAGGCTACGACTTCAATTTTCTAGACCTGCTTTGATGTGGATGCAGTACTACAGACTAGGAGAAAAGCAGAAAAGTTTCATTTTGCCCTGTTTGTATCATTCTTTTGCTATTGTGCACAGACTCTGGCTGCAATTACCACAGCCCACTAAAGAGTGCACAAATGTTCCCATGCGTATTTCAGCCCTATTTGTGTAGCTTTTCCATAAACTTTTGGGGCCTTGAGTTTTCCTGGCAGAAATGACTCAAGACAACAATAAAACGTAGTTTAGAATTGTAGTATAAAATATTTTCTAAGCTGTAGTCTAACAGTTTCACCAATCTTTATATTTTCCCACAGCCCAGCTGAAATTGCTTAAAAACAGTGTTGCTGCTCTTCTGGGAGTGGCAGGCAATAGCTGTGACTTCCACACATCTGTTTTTGCTTAATTGTTTTGTACTTTCATTCCTTTATTTCTCTAACTTGCCCTGTTTCACAGCTCTAGCATCTAACAGGGTGTTAAGAACCTGAATTATGAAGACGTTCTCCTGTTCTCCATGGTTACCAAATGGAGTACAAGGCTACAAGATCTTTTATTCTAAATATTCAGATATTTTTATTTCTGGTCTCCTGTGCATTTTGTTTGGAAGATATAATCATCTGGTGGATCTGCTTTCTCAACAGAGAGGAAGAAGCTGATCTTTTTGACTGGGGTTTGCAGAGTGTGCACTCACTGGGACGTGATGGTTGCTGTACAGAGGAGCAGCACACTCACTACCTGCTGGGTTTATGACTGCTTCACATTGCCAGATCTGGTTCTATATTGAAAGCAAACTTTAACAAGCGTAACTCTTCCTTGAGAAAAAGGCATAAATCTCTCTGCACAAAAAGTCTGTACTTAAGGATTCATGGGCTTTTGTGAGGGGGGAAAAAGAAGAGCCAGATGTTGCTCTGGTGTAGAGGAGAGATGATGGGGAGCGTAGGGCCAGCCCATCTGCGGGCAGTTAGTGCTGGCCGTGTGGCTGCTACAGCATAGCTCCAGAGAAGCAGGACACAGACAACATCAAAGCTGACTTACGATTTACTGAGCTGCCCACATCTGTTCCAGTAGCTGTTGCTTACTTTAATTACTGGGGAATGAGCCAATTGCTCTGTGAAGTTTGCATAGCAACAGGAAGCTGTTAGGAATGAAACAAAGATCTTACAGTAAGGATTTTTTTGAACACTCTGGAAGGCTTAAAATATAAGGTGAATCTCTTTGGTCCATAACGTGATGAAGTCTTTTGATACTAAGCAAAAGATGCGGCCGAGCTCTGATGTTTTAGTTTTTGGAAGAGCAGTGTGAATGCTAAGTGGGAAAGACTGGCATGAACACTGCTTTGTAAAGGTGTGTCCAGGAAGCCCCGTGAGGTTTACTGCTGCTCTGCTGGATGTTATATGCTGATGGGTGGTAATTTTATAAGTTACCAAGCAGGAAAAGAGAACTGAAGAACTGTAAAAAATATTGCTATAGTTTGCTCAGTATGAAAGTTTAACCTTCTGCAGTTTGTGTGGAAAACGACAGGCAATTGCAATCTGCTACAATTAATTCAACACTGCTATTTTTAATAATTTACTGGGGACAATAGTTAATTCACTAGTACGATCAAGAGAGAAATATGTTTTAAGTATTTTTATACTTCATGACAATAGGCTGAGTCCATCTCTTCTGTAAACCTTTTAAAGCAGATAGAGATTCCAGAAAGTAAACTGCGTAGGCTTTTTAAACAGACAGTGGATAAAGCCAGTGGGAGTTCTGCAGCTGACTTTGTTAAGGACCAGAGTTTACTCTTGAGTTGCATGCAGCAAAATGACATTGAGGGGGGTTTTTCAAATGCAACTTATACTGCATCTAACGTATCTCTCAGAAGCTTAAGAATGGCCAGAACAATCAGTGTGTACAGAACTGGACTTCTAGACTAGCTGCAGCAAAAGCTAAACCACTCTTACATTCAGAATACAGAGTGCATTCATGCATGTTTGGCTCTGGGCTTGGCTTCGCTTTGTGGGTGTCCCCTTCCAGACATCCGTACTGCTGGCAGGTAGATGATGTGATGACAGCAAGGAGGGTGATGGCAAACCGCAGCATTGTTGTTCAGTTCTTTTCCTATATGGAGAGAAGTCTTTACTGATATCCTTTAATTATAGGAAAACTCTTGATAGTAAGAAGAGCTGCTGTAAAAAAGCTGCATATATATACGACTAAAATATGCTCAGGAGATATATACATGTAAATATTAGAACACTCATTCTCCCTTTCCTTTGCTTATGTCTAAACACTTATCCTTCTGCCACGTCTTTCCAATCTTTGGTGGCCTGTGAAAAAGCATTCCTTCAGGCTGTATGTTACAGTTTTCAGTATTTAAGAAAAGGTTTTTAAATTTCTCATGCACATATGAATTTACCATCCCACTGCTGCACAGACTGGAAGATAAGATTGATCAGCTCCTAAACTTACTGAGTTCTTCTGTGCACTGGGAAATGACCCATTTAATTCCAATGCTTCTGTTTACAGAATTGACAAGCTAATAGTAGGATGTATAGTGTATATAGTATAAGGAAACACTTGAGCTGGATAAATTGTGTAGATAAGATGCCTTCATGGAGGTTATGCTCACTTGTACCTAATAATCTGATTGATTGTTTTCTGTCTCTTTTGTAGAGTTCAGTCAAAAATGCAAGATAAAAACCATTTTATCTGCGAGAATAGAGCTTCTGTAAGTACAGATTGCATATCAGTGAGTTATACAGATAAATCTAGAACCTCCTACGTAAATAACTGCATAATTCTTTATGGTGTAGTTAATTTAACCTTTAATTCTTTAGTTAATTATTCCTGATGCCTTTTTGGAAGAGGTTTGCCTGAACAAGAACCGCAGCTCCTCTCCTTACCTAAACTTTTCGGAGGCAAAGAAAGCAACGTGTTACAGAAGAAAACCGCCTGTACGATTTCTCAGTAGTTTCTCACCTCTTTTGCTGCCTTCCGGGTGAAACTTCTCCCTAGAACAGAAGCACAGTGCATTGCTCTGCTGCTTTCCACTTTATATACCCGCCATCTGGCATCAGCACTCCAGAATTTGTTTGCCCTGCAGAGTTCCTTGACCCTTTGAAATGCTAACATAGATTTATCTCAAAAGCAGATGGAGTGACCAGCACATAATGCCCTTTTATTGCTTGCAAATGTGGACATAATGACCAGGAAAGTACATAAACTAGAATTAGAAAAACAACAGCTCTCCAGTGTACCAAATACAACTACCTCCCATCCCCTGCCTGATTTTGCAATGATTCCTTTTGCTATAATTGTTAGATTCATTTCTACCACAGCTCGATTGGGCTCTTATCACAGATTTCACTGAATTGGAGACATTAAAAATGACACTTCGTATTTCAGCCTGACTGGCTTAATCTTAACTGTAAATATATCAGTTTGCTTTGTGTTACTCAGTAATTTTACTGCAGCCCCTGAAAGAGAATTGGTCTCCTGATTCTCAGGCCTTTGCTCTTTGTCCAGAAGATTCCTTTTTCAGCCTGCTGCTGTTTGCCCTTCTTGCTCTACCTGCCGTATTTGTGCTTCCCAATGGGTGTCTCAAGCCCAAGGAAAAACTGTTGTGTGAACCACTGACAGCAGCTGCAGACTGGATTTCCTTACAGAGTGTGCTTTCTGCAGAGGGGATTCTGCATCTGAACATGAACCATCACAGGAGGCAGATGTGGTGATTACAAATAGGTGCACTTACTTTGATAGGTTAAATCTCACCGAGCTCCCTAACTAGCCGTGCACCACTGATTACCTTGCAATTATTTAGGTGCAAATGGAAAATAGCATCTCTTGTTTCTGTTTTAAAACACAACAGTGGTTTGTCAAGTAGTAACTGTGGGTCAGTAATTACAAACCTTTTTTGCTTGAATAAAGCAAACATTGGCACAGTGGAAGTGTGGAATGAATCTCGCTGAGCAAACTCACAGTGAGATAATGATCTCTGCTGAGCTGTAAGCACCAATTCCTATTCTGGCTGGAGCCTTCCTTGAGGCAAAAGTGCTGCTGTCTTTAAAACTGATTTTCAGATCAGTTGAAATCCCAGGGCTTTCCATTTTCCAGAATGAATCTAAATAAGACAAATGCAAAGAGACTTAAGTATAGGAGAAATTGAAGTAATACCTTACTGCCTGTGCCTTCGCTTCATGTGGCTTGATCTTGTGCTGGTTGAAATTAATGGGGCTCCTTGCTGATTTGTAACCTAAAGGACTTGTGCATACTGCTTGGTACTGAAATCAGTGTATTTGTACCAAACAAAGACCACTGTGCCACATCAACATTCCGTTTCAACCTGAGGATGAGTAGCTGTGCTGGCCAGCCTGGTGAAAAGCACGTTCTGCTCCTTACTGCTTGCTCTGTATGAAATGTATTCATGCTTGTAAAGGTGTTAGCAGCCAGGAGGTTTCTTGTAATGCCTCTGTTTGTGGAACTGACATACAAATTATATTAAGCTATAGGAGACTGGGATCTTTTTCAAGCTTTGAATACGAGCCAAATGGGACCACTTGCTGGGAGATTAGGCAGAATTTCTAGCAGCAGGAAGGAAAATTGTCATATGTTTGTGATTTCTCAGACTTGGCTTTGGTTAACAATAGATGTAAGCAGACTCAGGCACAGGAGCTTCTAGAGATCTCAGCCATACATCATCTTGATCCTTTTTTTTCTTATTCTGAGTAAGAAAAAGTCTCAGTATAAGACTGTGAGTCATGTATGGAGAAATTTATCATAGAATGTTTCTTATTGCTTTCCGTACTTGAATGGATTATTATCTTCATTTGTTAATGCTGAACTTATTTTCAAGCACTCACTAATATTCTTGTACTTATAAAAGCCCTGTTACTATTTAATTTTAACATTAATGTCATTGCCTTATGAACTTATACTGATCTTCTCAAAGTTTTTATATAGTGTTAAAGCATGCATGATGCTAAAGGTAGCCACAGACAGTAATTCTGGTGCTGTTACATTAAATTACCATTATCACATAATCATCTGATGGTCTGATAATGGCCAGCAGAAGGATGTATCCATTCCGAAATCACAGGCACAGCCATGTGAGCTCTCAGCTTGCCTGCATAAATTCCTCCTGCAAGAGCCACCATTGGGTAATGAGGGAAGAAAAGGGAAAAGAAACAGAGGGACTCTAGCTAGTTGCTAAGTTCACAGCTTCTGGCCATTGAGTTAGTATCCATGTCAAACTGACATCTTCTGACTCAACACAGTGATCCCTTTTGAGTGAGTCAGAGCTCTTTAATGGGTGAAGTAAGCTTTCATGGTTTGTAGAGTTAACAAAAATATAAAAACTGTAGTGCTGAAGGGAAAAATCGTTTGTACTTTTTCCCTGTGACAGCTGCCAGATCTGTTTCCCTCCTTGGCTTCACGAAGGTGTAACAACACTGTGGCTGGAGTGAGATGGAGTTTCACGAGTGTAAATTGGAGCATTTGGCCTATTGCAGCTTTATTACATATGGTGATGTGTGCTAATGAAATTAATCTGCTGCTTCCTCACATCTCAGTGGGAGTCTGCAAACTTGGAAGTGTTTTTCTTGTTAACTAGCAGGAAATGCAATGAAGAACACAGGTTGTTTCCTAACTTCATGTCAATCCTGAAGCTCCTTTGCAGAACTGCACTTCATGTTGCATTAAGTGCCATATTATTTGCTAACTAGTGAAGAATATATCTTGACTTTTATTTTGTTAGACTTCAGAACCGTGGGTTCGTATCCACCAGTCTGCTGAATGCATCCTGTCACAAGTCAAGCTGAATGCCAGAGGAGAGGCTCCAGATGGACTCAGTCTGGCACTCCTGGCTCCAGGAAAAAAAAAAAAAAGGCTGAGATCAAATCTTAACGCTACCAAATTTAAGGTGCAACTTATTTCTGTTCATTTCAGCAGGGCCAGTGTTTTTCCTTAAATTTTGTTTGTGTAAGAAATATAGCACAGCATGAAGTCAGGCTTACTTGCTTTATTTCGAGTACATGAATGTTGCTGTGCAAGTTCCCCAAAAGAGCACAGGAATGACAAAATCACCAGTACTTTTATATAACCAGGAGAATGAGTCAGTGGAAAAACAAAAACAAAAAGCAAACCCAAAGTTTTAATGCATAGTGTGTTTAAAAAACACTCACAACCCAAACAACAAAATTATCACTGTAAAAATGTTACTTCAAGCCCTTATGTTAGTTTTTTTTCAGAATGAAAAGGGACAAAAACCTACTTATTTTAGCTTATTGCTAAGTTGAAAGAACCTCTTGAAAGCATAACTGAATGCTCTTCCTTTGCTTTACTCTTTCATTTGCCTTTCACGTTCTGTTGGCCTGTTACCACGGGGTTCCTGGATCCACAAGCAGTTGTTGCAGCTTTTTACATCTCTTTATTCTTTTGTTCCAAAGAACAATCTCCGGCTTGGATAGCTACTGACTGACTGCGTGCTGTGCTGTGATCTCTCCCAAGTGACAAAGAAAACGCAGTCCAGTTTGGCCAATGCTCCAGAAGTAACCAATTGCAGTGCTGTCCCTGATTTAGAACGTTAATATTGGACTGAATTTTCTACAGCTACTTGTGTGGTGAATTGATTTTTAGGGGAATATTTTTTAATTTAGTCTTAATTGTAGGTGCTTTTATTATTGTGAAGAGGTAACGCTGGCTGGCCCTGTAAAGCAGCGTGGTGTTGTGAAATGTTTGGTGCCAGTGCTGGATTATGGGTGGCCGCATCCCACAGCCCCATTTTGTGCCTTCGTTCTTTACTGCTCCTTTCTGGGCACTGTGCTGGCACAGCCCGGTGGGGTTGTGCTCCCAACCAGGTGGGGAACTGATCCAGCAATAGAAATGTAGCAATTATCCCGCCTCCAGTGCTGCTAGCCAAATCAATTTCCCAGTCCACTTTATAGCGCAGCTGTGGAAACAGTTTGTTGCTGTGAGGAAAAGGGCGGTATATCACAGTGAGGGAGACAAACAGTGGTGGGTAGGACTGGCAGTACTTCAGTACTTTTGGTGGAACTGCCAGCCTCTAAGCCCCATTGTGTTACTGTTCTGTTTTTTTTCTTGATTGGTACATTGAACACCTTGTAATCAAAACGTAGAGCCAGGCCTACAAAGGAAACAGTGCAAACACAAGGTAACAGTGAGATCATACTGGTCAGCATGTTAAAAGGCAGTGACAGGAAACCACAGGATTAATCATTGCTGAGCTTTTCCTGTTAACATCAGAGCAGGGATGAGTTTTAAGTAGGACACGGTTGAGGTCAGTGGGGTGTTTCTGCAGATTTCTGTGAGGATTGACTCCCGTGCATGACTTATTAGTTCTAGAAAGCTTTACTCATTGCCCTGTGCATCTGTCCTTAGAAAACTGACCACAGCACTCTTGGAAAAGGTATTTTTTCCCAATGCCTTTCTTTACATTTGCACTTCTCTCTGCATCTCTCGAATGGCACCTCTCTCTGTTTATCACTCAAAACCTTTCTTTTCCAATCCCTTTGCAGTTTATGGACACCCTTTTTATCTCTTCTTTCAGTAGAGACAGGTTAAGTCTCTAGAAATGTTGCAATTCAAGCTTCCACTGCACACCTGCTGGATTTCAGTGGCTTGCTTTCCTGTGTATGGCATCTCATATCTGCAAGGTTATTTCCTTAAGTAGCAGAGAAATTATGTGTAATTCTCACCTGGTCCCCCTTAAAACTCATCTTTGTTTGGGTGCCCAAAGAGGGTGACAGCAGTTAGAATCTGATGCTGCTCCTGCTGGCCAGCATCTCTGTCCCCTACATGCTTCTCTTTCTGAACCTTTTAGAAATACACAAAATATGCATGTTTATACACATGTAATTTGTATTCTGTTAGCCCTAGAGATAACAGCTCAACTGTGGCAATTGCTGTAAAATCAAGTCCAAGCTGTCTGTGAAGGCAGCATATTCACTGATTTCTTTCTGTCTCTTTAAAGCTGTGATGTGTTTGATGAGTTTTTGTTGCTAAGAAATGCTGTTAACTTAGAGAGGGCTTAGTGCATTTTAACTAAA